CACATGTATATCCTCTCTCAGGAAGAAAAACACATCCAATCTTGAAACTCCACCTGAAAGTCCCAATGGTGCTGTTGTTGCTTCTGTTGTGTTGCTGCTGTTGCTGTTCCTAGGATTGCAAATGTCCATTGAGATTTAGAGACTTCCATTTAACATTTATGATTTTGAAGGTCTTTGGGTGCAGAATTGGAGATTTCCATTGAGATTGAATGATTTTGATTGGTGTTGAAGGTCTTTGCATACAGATTTCTATTTTAAATTGTGAGATTTCCATTGTTGCTGCTGTTGCTGCTCCTAGTATTGCAAATGTCCGCTGAGATTTAGATGTCCATTCAACATTTATGATTTTGAAGATATCTGGGTGCAGAATTGGAGACTTCCGCTGAGATTTAATGATTTTGAAGGTCTTTGCATACAAATTTCTATTACATAATTGAGATGTCCATTGAGACTTAATGAGTCTGAAAGTCTTTGGATACAAATGTATAGGGTACTCCATGTATGGAGTGCTTGGGATAGGGTCCCCAGTGATCCTTGGAGTTGCACCGTACAATGGTTGTTCCTTCATTTCCTTGCACTTTCTGGTGGAACTCAGGGGAAACCATGTCAATCCATTTCAAACTTATTTACGGGGATGCACGGCACTTACCCGTCTTTCTCACTTCTTTCACAGTTGTTTCACGGTCAATGGCGCGTTGATTTATTTGTGTTGATTCATTCAAGAACAATGCCCTTCAAACCCACGGCAAACTACAGAACTGTCCACAGGGAGTGAAATGTTATTGTTCATGTCATGTGTATTGTCTTGATTCCATTCCAGCTTCCTAGCTTCCGGTAGATAACATCAAGAAATCCTACCTTGAGAGGCTGGATCTCCATTCTTGTCGTGGTATAAATCCACAACAAATTTCCACAATCCTGGCTTGAGCCGTGACAAACAAATGCTGATGGTGCACGGTTAGACAATTTTTATAAGAGTACGTCGGCGTAGGGCACTGGAACATGTGCTGTCCCTGTTGACTCGGTTGAACAGGGTGTCCCGGTTGAAACCAGTTGACCCAATTGACCTTGTTTGATGGCAAGTGTGGTTGTGGTAGTGCTAGTGTACTAGTAGTAGTCGTCGTCGTCGTAAGTAGGAAGTAGGAAGTAGTAGTAGTACTAGCGGTACTAGTAGTAGTAGTAGTAGTAGTAGTAGTAGTAGTAGTAGTTGTTGTAGTTGTTGTTGTTGTTGAAGTTGTAGTAGTAGTAGTAGTAGCAGCAGTAGTAGAAGGAGTAGGAGTAGCAGTAGCAGTAGAAGGAGAAGGAGAAGGAGTAGGAGTAGCAGCAGCAGTAGTAGTGACCTCGCGGTCGGAAGTTCGGGTTCGGGGTCAACTGGGTCAATTAGGTCAACTGGATTCTTATAATTAGCGTGGCCCCCTATGCGGTCGCGATGCTATTCTTTTGGTTTGCTTTGTCCCGGAGCGCGACATAGAAAAACAGCTAAGCCTAACCTGTCTAGATTAGGTTTATATTTATATATATATTGATTACTATATGTTCGAACTATCTATTTTTTTATATCCGGACCCTCTAAGTGAACTTAACCTCGGTGACTCATTGGTGACTGAGTATCCTCCGCCCAGATCAGTGGTTCAAATCCCAAGTGGATACCGTCCACCCTTCCCCTTCCCCAAGGGTGACGCCTGACCCGCCGCCACACATGGCGTCGGGCATTGCGTGCTCGAGCCAAGGGCCAAAGATCGGACCGAAGATGGTGAATCTATGTAGACGCTTGATTCATAAACCCCCCTTTGAAGAGGATGTTCAATTCAATTGGGGTGGTGTGTGTTCCTCAAGAGTCTACAGTCTACATCTCATCTGACAGGATCAGTTTGGATCAATCAATGACAGGATTGGTTCGGACCTGTCGTAGATCTTAGATCTCTTAGATCTCACAAACTGCTCTTTTCAATTGCAGAGCCCAAAGAACCTCGTTCACCGCACTCCATTTGCTTCCCCGGCAGAATGTGCAGCTGCCAGGCCATGGATGGAAAGAGCACTTGCCAAGGCTTCTGTAGCAAGACCCTCAGAGGACACCAATTTTTAAACCTGGACATGAGAGACCTGGACATGAGCCCTCAACTAAAAGACCTGTTGGAGGGTACTGGTACTGAATGGAATAATGGTCAATTCCACCAAGGATCCTTGGACCTGATGGTCGGAGGCTGGATAGCACTGGTACCAGAGAGATCCCTGAACCTGATGAGCTCGCTCTGAACAATCCGAACATCCGACTCCCACCCCGACCAGGATTTTCACCACCTTGGGATGGATGGGCCGACCATCCGACTCCATCCGACCATCCGACTCCTCGGGTTGATGGTCATGGTCTCTGCCTGCCTCCGCAAGGTTTGCAGCGCCTCCAATGGCGTCATCGGGCACGAAAGGCCTCGATGACTTGAGGCCGAGGGTAGGTGACGAAAGCTAGCAGGGGTGCATCCGGACTGGTGGGACATCAAGCGGATTGAGGCAACTGCTCATGAGGTAAAACGTTGTGAACATGTAAGACACACAAACAGCAATGACACAGCCAACCTTAGAATTGAAGCTGTTGGATCGTCATGTATATGTAATGAGGGACTGAAGTAAAGCAACGCAGCATCATGAGCATCACGGGAAGTCACAAACCAGGCGTATCAGATACACCTGGTTTATGTATGTTTGTTTGAGCATCTTTGTCGAGTGAAGTGTCAGCCATATGCACTGAGATGCCGAAGGAAGCTCAAAGGCACGTGTATCTGATACGCCTGGTTTCTGACTTCCCGTGATGCTCATCATTGAAGCCTTGAACCCTCGCGTAAATTTCATGTTTCATGCCCCCCCTTCCAAACTCAAACAGTGGCCTACTTCACCTGCCACCTAAACATAGCACTATAGCATGTACCGGAAGCGTCGCAGGGGGGAGTTGAACCCGCGGGGGGGGGGGGGCCCTACACGTGAAGTTTTCACGTGATTCATGATTCTCGAGGCTGCGAGTCTGCGAGCCCTTGACTTGCTAAAGCAAGAGCAACTCCAGCTAGCTGATGCTAGCTTTCGTGAAAAGTTGGTCCCTCCATCCAGGAGCTCGGCAGGACTTATGAGGTGGGGGTTTGAAATGGATGGAAGAACCTAATGAACCTCACCAAATGTTCTCGACACGTCTTCCAAAAACCATCTCGGATTGCTTTGTGAGATGAGCGGTGGAAGTACCAGGGCTGGCTTCAAAAGTTCTAAAGGGATCCATCTTTTTCTATATGAAACGAGCAAAAGGGACCGTCTTCCATTCAAGAATCCCACCACACCACTGTCGAAATCCCAGTGCCTCGTGATTCATCCACTTCGGAAACTATGTATCCACAGTATAAAGGATATGAGAACATATATATATATATAGATATCAATTGCAACTTGGTGACCCCTATGGTGGGGCGTGCTTGCTACTTTTGGGCGATAGCTACCACTATGTTATAGGTCGTTCCTATTGCGAAGAGATCGAAGATTCAGAAATTCACCGGTCAGTCCTCTCCCACACCCCTTTTCTGATCACCACGCCCTGTCAAAGGCTTGCCTCAGCTGACTGAAGTTAGCTGGACATCTGGCAGGTCTCCTATGTATATCCTGGGGGTATACCAAATAAAATAAGTCCTTGAAGTTTGACATTCAAAATCATTTATATAGTAGTCGGAAAGTATAACCTGTGATTTTCCAAACTCAACCTGATTATTTCTGCTCATTCAGCACCAATTCCGACATTCGAACGGCCATCCGGATGGCTTGTCAGACCTGAAGGTGGCGCAACTCGTCTACCAAGCTGAACTGTGAACAGGATACACCCATCCGAGCTCTGGTTTTTTACCAATAGCATCTATATAGAACTAGCAAGTCATACAATATGATACAATGATATCGCGCCATGCCATGTCCAAGTGGTTGCTGCCTATAACTGCACAGCATGCCTACCCATAGGGTCTATAGACATGGCTTGCAGGTGTCAATATCAAACATGCAAAGCTGAACGTTCGGAGTTAAGAAATCGTCTATCCACCAAAGGACGTTGCATCAATCCAGGCAAGGATTTGCGAACAGGCCCTCACTTTGATTCACTGTGTCAAGATATCACCACCATGTCATCCTGACGGTTGCTGAGATCCCCAAACATTGGGTGCTGACCACAAGCACCAGTTGCCATCGGAAGACTGGCAACAAAAGTAAAGTTGTGTTTTCGATGGCAGGTTTGCTTGGCGGGGCGGGGAAGGTTTCTGGACATGTCTGAACAATCACGGGCACCGTCATGCCAAAAAGATAAAGACTTTAAGAAGAAAAGGATAGAAGAGGGATGGATCCCTAAAAACATCCACTAGTCACCAGTCTCTCGTCCTCTGCGCCGCCATCGCGCTCCCCCACACCGCTCCACCGTCGGAACCGCGCTGCACAGGACGCCCTCCGCGCTCTCCAGGCGCCCCCAGAGGATCACTGAAATCCTGGGCCCCGCCGAGGTCGCAGCCCGCTCCACACGTGGCACGCAGTGCTGGAAGGCGGAGTTCACCTCTGCGGATGGGAAGATAGGAAGAAGTGCCATGAACCGAAGCGATGGATGGATGGTACTGGTGGCACTTACAAGATGAGATCATTGTGGAGGAGAGGGGGGTAGGTTTAAGATGGGTGGACAAAGGATCATTGTAATTTATAATGTATATATATATATATATAGTAATACTTCCCACTAGCGCACATGTGCGCATATGAACACGTGATATCTGTTGAAAAGGTCAGGAATCCCTCGGGGAAATCTGATAAAAGAGCCTCTTGGCATTTTATAGCTTCTTGAACTTGTATTAGGGTGCTCACTTGGTTGTGGTTTTCTCATGAATAATCATGATATATCATGATCATCGGGTGCTGCTGTTTTCATGTTCCTGTCACCCCACCGTGCACAAATCAAGGTAGATGTCGTCAAGAATACAGGAGCCCGCTCTAACCCCTGAGGCTGAGGGTTATGGCCCCTTGAAGGGAAGAAGACCCGGCACGATCCGCAGCCCCTTCTCCGGCTGCGGCTGGATCCACAAATATCAGGCTAGCAATGCCGCTGCCAACGCAACACAAGGCGGATCCAGAAGGCTTGCCCGACAAGTGCTAGTTGGTCTGGTTTTTGGACAGCTCCGACAGCTCTGGCTTGAGCAAAGCAACGGTTTGGGTCACAAAATTTGGTACCAAAACCATCCAAGGAGAGAAACTGTTCCCTGTCTTAAGCATCTTAAAAGGGTGAAACCACAAACTCCGTGATAAATGCTGGCTTCATTGTTGGTTCTCATCATCTTGCCCCAGACTGCCATCCTCAGGATGCGTCAGGTAGATTCAGCAAGGTCCAGGTAATACATGGATCTCCGACGGAACGCGCACGTTATTGGGAGGTCAAATCTCCGTCATTGACCCCAGCGGACTTGGACTAGCAGCAGGTTCAGTGAAAGCGAAGACATCGCCATTGTGCTGGGGAAAGGCAAACTCCAAGTCGGTCCTCGGTGAGGGTGTTAAACTGGACTGGTGAGGACGTGCGAGACTGCTCGGCCACCTGGCTGGGTGGAGTGATGGGGACCACCAGCCAAATGGAGATCATTCTGGGTGGAGTGATGACTGATGGGCATGGCATTCAACTTGGGGTTGGTGGATGCTTTCTTCTTCTACTGCTCTGCTGAGTTGACCAAAGTAAACCACCAATTTGGTTATCAATTCCCCAAAACCTCAGCTTCACAACTGTAGAGGCATCTGGATGACATCTGGATGTCACTTCAAAAAAATGGACTCCAAATCTGTGGCCCAAAACGACTCTCCAGGACGGGCCCAGTACGGACCCCACCGAGTTCCCGCCACCCACCGAGGTCGCGCCCCTTGTCCGCCCTCGTCCAGGCGGCTGCAGGTGTTTGAAGCGTAGCTCCCTCGCAGCACCAAAGCCTACACCAACGACTCCGAGGAACAATAGGATCCGCCCGGCGTAATGGTGCGCATGTGAGAGCGAAAGCATGTCGCGATGCGAAATCCGAAGAGAGCGGGTTGAAACCATCCATCAGGCTGGAAGATTGGGCTACATTGACCCTTAAATCATCTCAAGCCAGCCATCCATGGAATCCACGGAGGCAAATATTATATAATCAATTCCAGTCGGATTGTCTGGGAAAAAAGACCTGCTTGGTCTTGCGACTCCTAGGAAGCGGGTCAAGGGGATTCACCGACCAAAAACTGCGGAAACTTTGGTCTCTTTGGAATGTAACAATGATTTATTCAAGAGGCCCTTCCCAGAAAAACCCATGTCCTTCCACCAGAATCCTGAAAAGAACACGTGGTGGGATATCCCCATTCCGTCTAGGTTGCAGACTCCAACTCCTTTCCAAAACATCAGTTCTTGACTGGTGGGTGGTTTCAACCAAAAACGTTACGAACAAAGTTAAAAATATGAGTCGACGCGAGTTCGATCATCCCAAGCATTTTGTCCTGTGGAATCACATTCATTGAAACACATGAAGCATCATTGAAAAAAACACTCGAACATCTCAATCTGATCATGAGTTATAAAGGCTGAACTCCATATTGTAAACATCTCAAGAACCAATCCCCCCCAAATCCAATCTCCAGACCAGGTCTCGGGTCAGTCTGTGCACGCCGAAAGCCTTCCCCTGCAGTTCCTCCAAGCTGCTGGCGCCCACAGTGACTTCATGAGCCAAGTTGGTGCTTCCCATGCGGTTCCCCTCCGCACGGTAGTTGTCCTCGAGCGGCGGAGGCCGTGTGGAGCCCCCCGCAGCGGCGGATCCGAGGTGTGCAGTCCGTGGCTCTGCTCGGGAGGTCTGAGACTTGGGAGGCTGCCTCGAGGGGTTGGTCTGTTGTAAATTGGCATCCTTGATAAAACAAAGGGGGACTGGCACACAAACCTACATTTGGGTGGTTGAAAAGGTGTCAATGTCGGCAGATATTTTTTGAAATGCTCCACATCATCAATCCATCATCACTGCACGCCCCTCGCGGAACACCCATGAAGCCGCCGAGTCAAGCGATGACGTCGCTTGTGTGAACGTCTCCGTCCCGGACCCCGGGTCCCGGTGGTACTCCGTCCAGTCGTTGCCATCGGCATAGAGATTCACAATGGAGTAACCCACCTGGGACAAAACCAAGTTTGGGTGGTGGGCTCGGTGGCATTTGTGCATATTTGTACGGAGAGTCCTTGCATGAGGACTCAGTTCAGTTCAGATGATCTGATTTGACCATGTTTATTCATCATGGTTCTTTTCGGCGGTTTTGGGCTTTTCACCATGGCGGCGATGAACTCTTTCCGGCTGCTCTTGGGCTCCCAGCGGTGACTCCGAAGATGCGCCGGAGCTCCGCCACGATCTGCCCTGGAGACTTCGGAGATCCGACGATGCC